CAAAAACTTCGAAGTCTCTCCTGTCTTTTCCAAGTTTAATAACGACGCAAAGCGATTGGTTTTTGATATCGCCGAAGACAAGACGAAGTATCTCCTGTCATCAAACAAAGAGTCAGAGCGTTCGCGCTTTGGCAAGCACGTAACTGTTGCCAGTTGTACAGGGTGGCGCCGAATGAGCTATATGTTTTAAATGGTTTATAACTTTTTTATTTATGCGATTATTATAATTTTTTTTTTAAATACAGTATATTATTGGGGAATTTTTCGCAATTAGCTTTGAAAAATGATATCCTGTAAGTGATATCCATTCTCTGCTTCGCACATACGTGCTCTATTTAGCATATTTTCCATAACTTTTCGGGTGTAATGGCCATGATTTCATTTCGAATGTGGGTTTGGAGTTGGAGAATGGTTCTTGGTTTGTTAACGTACACTCCTTCTTTCAAATATCCCCAAACTGTTAAAGAGAATTCAAACCATTTAGCTCGTTCGGCGCCACCCAGTATTATAACCAAAAATGTGAGGTTTTTTGGCCGAAATTACGATTTTTTCAAGGTAAAATGACGATTTTTCAGCAAAAGCATTCGGCAACGCTGCTGACAGGTCATTTCCAGGCGTGGATCCCGTTGGCATAGAGTAAAAAAAGAAACCTGTTATAAAGAATTCAAACCATATAGCTCATTCGGCGCCACCCAATAATTTCGAGAAAGTAGACAATTTCGTTTAGTTAGGAACCAGCATAACACCGATAATAATGTCGGCATCGAAATCCAATGCCGAATTACTGTAGCGCACAAGTGCAGCTTTGGACTGAGTAGGCAATTCGGGAGTAAAGTCCGCTCTCGACGTACAAAAACCACACTCTATAAGACACTCATTACATGCCCCCATGCTGGTATATGGCGCAGAAGAATGGACAATGACAACATCCGATGAGGCGGCTCTTGGAGTATTCGAGAGAAAGATTTTATGGAAGATTTACAGGCCCCTACGCGTTGGTGACGATGAGTATCGCAGACGATGAAACGATTAGCTGTATAAGCTTTACAGCGGCTCCGCGGCTTCGCCGTGTCGTTCGAATGGAAACCGCGTTCCAGGTCTAAAAGTATTCGACTCACAATCCGCTGGTGGTAGCAGAGGAAGAGGGAGGTGCCCACTGCAATGGAAAGACCAAGTGGAGAAGGACTTGGCTTCACGTGGCATTTCCAATTGGCGTAAGTTGGCACAGAGAGAAGCGACTGGCGTGCTTTGTCGAACTCGGCTAAAATCGCTGATGCGGTTACAGCGCCAAAGAGAAGATGCAAAGGATAAACTTGGAGGAACTAGGAGAACACTCCTTATGTGGCAAAGGTTCCATTAAAAAATTACATAGCAGTATCTCTTGCTTCGTCTTGAACATCTGCGACATTGTTACCAGGTGGCTACTTATCTTCGAGAGGCTTACTAAAGTAGCGAACGAAAGGTGGCAGGACGAAATCACCTGCAAAACTGCCAAACAATTATGGCCGGTGCTCAGTGCCAAACGCACTGGCCTACTACTGAGTCTAAATGAGCCCAATATTGGATTATTAGTATCTGTCATAACAGGACACTGCCTAATTGGCAAGCACGCCTATCGACTTGGCCTACATTTACATGACTTCTGTAGAAGTTGTCAAGATGAAGAGGAGGAGGAAACGATTCTGCACTTGTTGTGCCAGTGCCCTGCTCTATCCGGACGAAGACTCTCCACTCTCGGTAGGCAATTCTTCGACAACTTGGAGGACCTTAGTTGCGTCGAAATCAGGGATCTTCTAAAATTCGTTCAATGTTCAAAATGGTTTTAGGAGGGATTGGGAGTTGATGACCCAACATGCGGCATCACAATTGGCCCTGAGCCTTAGTGTGTCTTATAGACGACCGCGACAACCTAACCTAACCTAACCTACCAGATGGAAACACTTCTCATTTAGCTCTTATGCTGCCATTCAACATACAAATCATCGAAACTCCCACGTGCAATATTTCCAGAACATCCGGTATGGGAAAAGTACTTATTACAAAAATGTAAACTCATTATTTGGGATGAGTGCATGATGGTACATAAAAAATCTTTCGAGGTTCTTGATCGATCGGTAGGAGATTTGCGTAGAAATGTTCAACCATTCGAGAATGCATTAATATTGCTCGCAGGAGATTTTACGTAAACATTGCCTGTAATTTCTCGATTGACACCAGCGGAAGAGATAAATGCTTGCCAGAAATATTCAACATTTTGGCAAGACGAACATACATACATTGTAGTTGACTACGAATATGCGTGTCCACCTATAGAGCGATAAAGCAGCCTAGGTATTCTCGCGACAATTACTGAACATAGGGAACGGAAAGCTGCCAGTCAATTAGAGATTGGGACGAATTTTATTGCCTGATAATTTTAGTAACTTAGAAACATCGAAAGGAGAACTGACCGAAAGAATGTTTCCGGATATTCAAATTATTTATAAGATTCACGATTGGCTCAGTGAACGGGCTATTCTTGCAGCAAAGAATAATTATGTCTATCAACACAATAATGTTTTTCAATCCAGCATTCAAAGTGATGAAATACTTAATATATGTATATGTACATCGATAAACATCGTTGTGGAAATAATGAAGCAGTTCATTATCCAACGGAATTTTTGAACTCGATTGACCTTCCAGGGATTACCCAACATACTGAAATTGAAAATATCAATAATTATCATGTTGCGGAATATTAAGCAGCCAAAACTTTGCAACGGCACGCGACTAGCAGTTAAGAAATTGATGAACAACGTAGTGAAAGCAAAGATTTTAACGTGGCCCTTCAAAGGGGAAGAATTTCATTGATTCCGACCGATAAACCATTTCAATTTAAAAGATGGCAAATCCCAATTCGATTCCCGGAATCACAATCAGTAATGCTCAAGGTCAACCTTTGGACAAGTATGGTTTAGATTTAGATGCCGATTGCTTCTCACATGGACAAATCTATGTTGCGCATCGGCAAACCAGATAGCCTTGATATCTACGTAGAGAATGGGAAAATGAAAAATATTGTGTACCTACACACAAGTATTGCAAAATCAAACTTATCTGAAACGTATGCTTTCTTTCGTTAATCATTTATAATCCATGTAACAGGAATATGCCACAGCAAAGCGTGGCAGGGTATAGCTAGTTGACTATATTATAACTTACCCTGAATTCCAAAATTTAAACTGATGGATTATGCTTTGTATTTTTACAATTCGTAGTTCAGGGTAAATGATTGAGCGATGATTTTCGTTCATACGTAAATTTTTTTGAAAACTGCATATACTTTCGGGTATGGAGTTTTATAGTCCATTCAATACGCGTTGATTTTTGAGAACTTTTTTGGTTGAAGGTTGCACTTTTTCTTCCATACTAAAATTTTTTGTACATCCAATATGTATAAAGAAAATGCAAAAATATAAAAAAATATTACAAATCAACGTGAATTCTTAGCCGCACTTGCACTTTGCAAATCTAAAATTGAATGAACTATAGAACTGCATACCCAAAAGTTTCTAAAATTTCTGACAACAAAGTTTTAAATTTGAATGAACATTTTTTGTAGAATGTTTTAAATTTTGATTTTTATGGTTTTGTTGTTGTGAGATTTCTGTTTTTCTTATATGCAACAAGTACTGTAAATATATTTCATAAAGGAAATGGTACCTATCGACTACTTTCAATTTATTGGCACATTGACCTGCATTTAGGCACATTTTTCCGGAGAAATTCGGCACAATTTTAAATTTTGATTTTCCATCACTGGTGTGGGTATCAAATTAAAGAGGAAAACCTGCAGAAGGACTGGTAAGTATTGAAAATGTCCTTTTAAAATTTTATCCATGAAATTTCGCAATATTTGTTTTTGTAAAATTATATGTTAAGGACTTATATAAACTCGATAACATCCTCGAATTTCGTCCTTCTAAATTTTATTATTATTTTATTTTTTTTTTTATTCTAAACAAATTTCCTCTTGCATTTGGTACCCATATTTTTATTCTACATTGCATTGAATTTTTTAACCCTTTATAGCATCATGTATATGTTACAAACCCCTTCCGAGCATGCAAGACGGTGAAAAAATAATTTGGTTTATTTTTACTTGATGTGACAGCACTGATACAAAGCGTTTTATACAATTGCAGGTTATTTATTTGTTTAACACATGGCATTACTGCCTAAAACGTTATTTCAATTTCAAGTTTGGTGAAGTTAGTGAACACACGTGCATGCTCTCTTTACGAATTTCATAGAAAATAACTATTGAGTTTTTTAATAAAATCTTTTGTTTAAAAGTACAGGTAAGTTCATTTTTGTGCATGTTTTGTACTAACTAAGCAAAAAAGTGTCATAATTACGGCACAGAAGCAAAATTTGTGTTTGTATCATTTCTGTAACATTGAGGTACAAGGGCCACTAAAAGTGCTTATGCTTGGTTTCTGCTTTACTCCAACAGAATGGCATCCCGCAGCTTATCAGTTGAGCAGATCTTTGAGGAATTGATGAATTTTCAGGATAGTGAGGACGGGTTCGAAAGTGACGATAATAGCATTGCCGATCCCGATTTTGAGCCGGAGAACAATGTAAGTTTAAACTTTGATACCGATTTCGATCAGGGCGACGGACACAATGAAATCGAAAACAATAACTCTGATATTGACTTAGAGCAAACATCCGTATTTGCAAATGCTACTCAGCCTGGCTCATCACGTCGCATTAAACTAAAGAATGTTGTCTGGAAGAAAAAAAGTATTGAGCTAAATGAACATCAACTTCAATTCTCAGGAAAGGAAGAACTACCTAGTGATATTTTGGATCTAGAAACGCCCATCCAGTTTCTCTAAAAATATTTCCTCAAGAATTATTTTTGAATATCGCTGAGTAAACCAATACTTACATTATAGAAAAGGACCCCAGCAAGAATTTCCATGTGTGCGAAATCGATATCCAGCAATTTATTGGAATAACGTATATAATGTCTTTGATACATCTTCCAAGAGTGACGAAACATTGGAATTATGAAATCGGAACACCTTTCATAAAGGAAACGATGCCAGCAAACAAATTTGAAAAAATCAGGCAATTTATACACTTCAATGACAATTCCAAAATGCCTCCTCGCGAGGATCCCAACGCGGATAGGCTGTTTAAGATTCGACCAATACTGACAAAATTGAACGAAACATGTATGCAAATTACGCTAAAGAGTCAGCTTTGTGTAGATGAGCAAATTTGCTCAACGAAAGCAAGGAATAACTTGAAAAGGTATAATCCCAAAAAGCCAAAAAAATGGGGATATAAAATATTTGTACTTTGCGACACTAGCGGTTTCGCGTACAGTTTTGAAGTAGAATCTGGAGCTGAAAATATTATAGAGCCTGGAGAGCCAGATTTGGGTGCTGCCTCAAACGTTGTAATGAGACTGGCCAGAAATATCCCGAGGAATCAAAATTATAGGCTTTATTTTGACAACTATTTTACGTCGTTGCCACTGATAGAATATTTGGCCAAGGAAGGGATCCTCAGCTTAGGAACAATACGTCGAAATAGAATACCTGACTGTAAATTGCCGACAGATAAGGATATTTCTAAAAAAGGTCGTGGGCACTCCGTCGAATATGTTGCAAATGTGGGAGGAGTATATGTAGCTTCCGTTGTTTGGAAGGACAACAAATCTGTTACTCTAGCATCTAGTTTTGCTGGTGAGCTACCGAAGTCCGAAGTACGGCGCTATGATAAGGCCAACAAAAAATATATTACTATTGAACGACCTTACATAGTGACCGAGTATAATCATCACATGGGTGGATCGATATCATCGACAGCATCATGGGCCGCTACAAAATATTGTTGAGAAGGAAAAGATGGCAAGTTCGCATGTTTGACCACTTTTTAGATCTTGCAATGTCTAATGCTTGGCTCTTATACAAAAGAGTTCGCAAAGAAAATAATGTGCAGGACAATCAGTTGTCATCAGCAGATTTTCGTTTGGAAGTTGCTACGGTCCTGTGCAAATTAGGTACAAAGACAACCATAAAACGCAGAGGTGGAATAGAAGCGGATATTCAAGCGAAAAAGCATAAGGGCCTGCTCAACATGTTCCTCCAATTGCAGTTAGGCAAGACCAAGTTGGGCACTGGCCAGTATGGGCCGAGAAGAAAATCCGTTGCAAGCGCCCAGGATGCAGTGGAGTGTCACAAACGGTATGTAAACAATGTGGTATAGCTTTATGCTACAACAAGCAGAACAATTGCTTTAAATTATTCCATACATGCTAATGTGTTTTTTTTTTTTTTTTTGGAGAAGTTGTCACATAATGTGACATATCTGTTACACTCCCTTTTTGGCTGTTTCCTCCCCAAATAAAAGAAAAATCTTGAAAATTAAAAAATATGTGTTTAATTTTTTACTAAAATCTATTAGAATCCGTATGATTTTACTTTTTTTATTTAGTTGAGTTATAAAGGGTTAAATAATTTTAGGAATTAATCATATCTTTGAAATTAAAATGTCCCTTAAAATAAGAAACTTCTTTTTCTGTAATTGTTTCCTTATAGAAAGGTTGGGTTCTTTTCCACCTTAGACATTCCGAATTCGTTCAAAATATGTTAATTTAAAACACAGAATTCTTTCAGTGCTCCTCCGGGGTTTTTGGACATGTACTGTTTCTTCAATTTAATAGTGTTCGCTTTATTTTTGTTAAAACGAAAAATGTTTTGCAAGTTATGGATCATTTCTCCACTCTTTCTTCAAATATTTCTCGTATTCCAGCTGTGCGCAGGCGTTTAGTTTCTCGCATCGTGTTTTTACATATTCGTAATTTAAATTCTTTTTTTAATAGAATCAATTGGTGATAGCTCATGATTGTGTGTGGATTAATATCACAACACTGAGGATTTGGCAAAAGCCTTTTTCATCTATTAAAAAACAACACTTACGGGGCAATGTTTATTGTAAGAACAACATTTTTTTCTATGAATCGACATACTTTAAGCATTGTTGACGCTATTTCCATTTGAATGAGGAAATAGCGTCAAAGACTTTATTTCCAAATTTTTGTTGACTTTATTTCGCTTTTGAAAAGGTAATAATGTCAATTGACTTTATTTCGCACCAGGGTGGGAAATAAAGTCAATTGACCTTATTTCCATTGACCTTATTACCTGTCACCGTTGGAAAGGTCTTGCAGAGTGTGTTCGGAAAATGTATTCAAGCTTCATAAACGATTAACCGGATTCTTAAAAATTAGGCTAAAGTGTTGCGAAACAAAAAACGTTTTTTTGCTTTTGCCGGTTTAAGGGGGCATGTGAGTACATCCAACATATTTAGCGTTATTCTATAGGCCAATACCTTTCAAACGATACCTTACATATTAAGGTCCGGCCACTAGTTGGAAAGGTATAGAGGTAAATGTGTTTTGGTTCGTGTCTCCACTAGGAGATGCTTTGGTATGTATGTGGCGTCTGTACGTACCATCATTTCATTTTTTTCAAACTTTCAGGAATTAAAGTACAAAAAAAACTAAGAAGGTTTTGTTCCAGGATGTTTTGACGATTTGGCAACTTGCGTATCATTCTAAACTCATGCGCAAGGTATCGTATTGAAAATGCATTTTTTCACATTCGATAGTTTAAAATGGTAGCGACGATATGTTTTTTGTTATCTAGTCTGTGAATTTAAATTTTCAATCAAGAAGAAACTGATCCTCGTTTCCGAATTTGCTGAAAAGGTACACCGCAAAAAGAACTGTTGACGTTATGGCAGTTTCAAATGCATTTAATGCATAAACAATTACTTTTGTCTAATGCCGAATTTCCACTAGGCATTAAAAAAAAATTGAAGGCATTCAAAAAGTGCCATCTGGAAATAAATTAATAATAATAATAGATTGGCGCTTACACATATGTTAGTGTTTGGCCGAGCTTCTCCTCCGATTTGTGGCGTGCGCCTTGATGTTGTCACACAGAGCGGAGGGACCTACAGTTTTACGCCGACTCCAAACGGCGATTGTATTTTCATGAGAAGCTGTTTTTCATGGCAGAAATACACTCGGAGGTTTGCCATTGCCTGCCGAGGGACGACCGCTGTTAAGAAAAAAACCTTTTTTCTATATTTTTGCGATGTTGCTTTGACCAGGGTTTGAACCCAAGCTTTTCGGAGTGGAAGCGCGCACTGCTTACCACTACACCACAGCGGCCGACGACTGCTGGAAATAAATTAATGACTATTTTTTTAAGGTTATGACAAGAATATTTTTTAATGCCCAAATTTGTCATAAAAATTTCTGCTATTAAATGCCGAGTGGAAATCCCGCAGAACTTTTCAGATGTATTTTTAAAAAATATGCTGGTTCTGCCAAAGAATTTCATAGAACCGCCGCAAAGCGGTACCAAACCTAAAAGGAACGTATGTTATACAAGATAACAAATATTTTTTTGATTTATTTCAGGATTTTTCTGTTTTTAGATGTTTTTTACTGAATAATATGTAAATCATTTTTTAATTTAGCATTTTTTCCATAAAAAAAAATTATAAAGAAAACTTTAATACTTATTAATTATCGGAGCATTCCGAAAACACTCCGTCTTGGTCATCTTCGGAGGATTTAAGGAAACCTTTTCTCAAAATCATAGGTGAATAGGAGTCGTCGAAATCACTAAAGTTACCCTTTTTTTCATATATGTATATTGAGAATGCCCTTTTCTCTTGCGGGTATGCTCCTTTGAGACTCTTCGCAGCCTCCCTAGGATCATCAACGCACCGTACACCCTGTGCACCCTGAAAACTCCGCTGGTAAGCTGGGAACAATTTAATTAAAAAAAAAACTTAAAAAAATCATTGCTGACCTGAACTGTTTTAAACTCTCGATAAATGTGAGATTATTTCAATTTTATTTTGCGAGTTAGAGAAGGTCGAGAACTCTCACCAGACTCAAAAATTAAGATAAGTACAATAAGAGACTATTTCGCGAGATGTAAGTAATCAAAACCACTTGAAAGATTGAGCATTTTCGTGTCCAAAAAATAAGCCCTGTACGATAGTTAATAAGGAAATTGTTAATATTTTGCCCGGATAAGAAAATGCTTACTATGGAATCAATACTGCCGTTTCTGAATATCCACAGCAGCAAGTAAGATTCGCCACAGAATTTTTAAACTCTCTAACACCTTTTAATTTTTCTGGATTGAGTAGCCATTTATAATGAAAATTTTCAGCTAGAGAAGTAAAGTGATTGAAAGTCGTAATTTATTTGTTGATCTATAAGTACCTTTCTTAACTGAAATGACTAACCTTTCAAAATTTTTTCGAAACAATTAAAGCAAACTCAACTTAAAAGGTAGTACCAGGGCATATCAAACAGGTTTTAGAGCAAAACCACATTTATGTGTATTTTGTTGTTGCTTCTCTTATCTAAACTGTCAAAACTGTTCTGATTTTTTTCTTGTAAAATACAAAAAAGTAAAAATTTAATATCAAAATTGGAAAAAAACTGGTGCGACTTTCTTTCTTAGTAAATGTTGTTTGCTTCTCGAAGCATAGATCCATCATTTGCAAGAACCAGGCATCAGCGTTTGTGCTGCGGAGTTAGGTGAACGTTCCAAAAGTTGCTTTTCAATCGCTTGTTTTATATGCGAAAAGTTTTCACATGCAAAAAGATTTTGACCATATATATTTTTTGTGAGAAGAAATTAAAAATATTTTACAGAACGAATAATTTGAAAAAAGAAAAATCACATCAGCTGCTCTCTACCTGTTCAATGTGCCTTGGTTAGTACAAAATATTGCAAAGAAGTACATTTGACTGTACTTCGAAGTACGAAGTACAACGGCTCAAAAAGAAGTACTGTACTTCCGAAAGAAGTACGGTTGGTCACATTAGTCATATCGGACTCTTATTGGCCGCATGTACGGCTCATTTCGGACTTTTTAAGACAAAGTTTGGCCTTATAAAAGAATAATTTCATACTCTTTTTAAGGCTCTTAAGTAACTCTAATTCGCCTCATAAATTGCTACTTTCGGACTCTTATTTTTGATCATTGAGTCTTATTTGCCTCGTTCTATTACTCTTATTAAACTCACTTTAAAGCCATACTTGCAAAGGTGCAAAAATTTCTTTCAAATACCGTGCATACCTATGTACATATGTGCACATATATATGCATATCTCTGTACATACCTATGTATATACATTTGTTTATATCTTTTGATTCCTAAATATTTTCCATATCTGTATAAACAGGCATATATATAGTATATCGAATCTTTAAATATTGTTTTTATATTAGCACAAAGTGCTGGCTATTAACCCATTTACGCCGAAACAAAAACGGTTGAAATTTTATTACATCTAATTTTATTTATGTGATCATAAAAGCCATTTTAAACAAACTTAGGAATTAAAATTAACGAAAAAAGCTTAAAAGTTAACTTTTGGGAGTGTGCTTTTTTTAGTACAACGGGCACGTATGCGGACTAATTTTTAAAACGTTAATTGACAAGGCATAACTTTTTTTTGCATCCTATACATTGCCATATTATAACCTCATGACACAAAACACAGTTTAGCTGCTTGGGCAACTTTCCTAG